TTAAATATTGTATAGAAATAAAGTCAGGCGTCTATTATGTTTTATAACTGGCATTAACATACTTACGTAGACATAGAAATGTTATTTTATTACATTATATTGAGTACGGTGTATAACAGTCTGTCTTACTGTGTGAAAGAAAAATGGCTGTCGGCAACATTATGAAGTTGATAGATATTGGGGGTTATAAATATGAATATATTTTCTTTGTAATCAATGAAAGATATTGGCAGGCCAACGATATCAAAAGAAATATCTTGGCCATAAAACAAACCTAAAATTATTTTTCTTGATCAAGACTACCTAACAAAATTGATAAGTGAAAAAAAAAACAAAAAAAACTAAATATGTGTTGTTCATTTGAAGTATGGCCAAGCAAACCAACTACATTAATGCAACTGATTCAAAATATAACATGTTAGAAAATTAACACAGTATCGTGATTTTAGCATATGTTATAAAATAATGCGTTGAAAGGTGAAAATAATTGAAAATGCAGAAAAAAGATTCACAGTAAATTATTTTGCCGGATAAGATCAAATTTACTTCAAAACAGTTTAATTGCTTTTACATATATTTTTCAACATCATACAGTTAAGTCCGCATCACTAATTAGCTCCCATGGTACCTATGAGATGAGGCAAACAGATTGAGAAGAGTCTACATAAACAAATATTTTAAAACAGGAACGATTTTTTTTATCAGAATAGCACTCCTATTTCCTAAATTTCTACTTCACAAAGTTCTCAGTTTGATCCAATTAGATTGGATTTAATGAAAATGGATTTATTTTCCATTAGGCCTTCTTGATGTCCTTGTTTGTACATGTATTGTATCTTGAATAAGTGACCTGCTGTACTCATAATGTACTTTTTTTTAAAGCATTTTAAAATTTTGATAAGTAAGGAAATGATAATTTCATTCCAAAATTCATAAATACATATGTTATGGTATTTTATGATACCAATAAGGAAACTATAAATTCAATTTGACATAGATTGAAATACTCAAGTCAAGAACAGTTAGGATTATAAAGAGAAAGGTGTTTTAATAAATAAAAAAGAAGCAATTCAGCATTAATTTTTCTGATATATTTACTTTAGAATGCAGAGGTATGATATATATACATAAAACTCAACATGTTTGAGGTGAACTGTGCAGCCAAACATGTTAAACAAGAAAATTACTCCAGACAAAAGGATTTTGTTTTAGTACTGACATTTGAGAAAGATTATTATTCTCGATATATATAATAAATGAACATACTAAACAGGTTGGAGGCATATGTCCTTCACCTGACAGTAGAAAAAATCACAAGAAAACAACGAAGAAAAATAATATTTTGACAGAGACATATGTCGGACAGGATAATGGCGTCTAATCATGTTTGTGTTTCCCTCTTCACCCCACTAATGCCTTTTGGGCGTTTTCCTCAATTGACCAGTTTTTTTCTGTTTTTCTTGTACATTTGTGCAGGAAAAATGGAAATCTATTAGTTCATTCATGCATGTGTTGAAAATATGTGATCCTTGGTATATTTAATACTGTTCATGTATATTTATTTCTTGCTTATAAATTCATATTTCCTGTAACAAAAACAAAAAATATCAAACTTTTTGAGGTTAATACTGTTACATGAATTTGAATAATATCAGAAATAAATATTTTGAAAAGGTGTTTTTTTTAAATCTCTCTCTTTGGACAAATAAAATTAAAATAACAAGCCAGCTATGATTTCATCTAGTTTTACAATCAGAATGACAAGATTAAAAGTAAAAGTAAACAAAAAATTAAAGTTTAAGTCATAGAGAAAACTGCCTTGGGTAATATCGTAAAGTTTGACATTAAATACATGTATGAACCTTATCTGGATTTACCTGACAATAAATGAAATAATTAGTTTGAAGGTTAGCTCACACCCACAATTGTGTTACGTTCATTGAAAATTACTTCCATTTAAATGCTGTAATGAACATTAAAGAGAGAAATATTCAGGATGGACGCAAGAGACAAAAAGGATACGTATGTTGACGTAAAAGGAAAAAGGGAAGTACGTAGTAGGCCAAGCAATTTGACAATCTATTGTATAACGTAAATTATGATTCAGCTAGTTTAGTATTCATACGCCTTGTTGTTATATTTTTATTATAAACTAGTCAAGTGTTCTCATAAATTCAACAAATTAACCCCAAATAAATCACTGACATCTTGTATAATGGATCAGTAAAACCAAATACTTTACATTCTGTTTCAATATATTTCTTCTCCCATTTGCTTTAACCATGGTTGTGTTTGGCCTCCATGCTCAATTGTCCATCCAGTATTTTACAGCTGTATTTGAAAGCTTTGCACCAAGTAACCTCTGATAGTCAACAAAAGGTCATAACCTTTCTATTTGCCTGAGCTTTTAAATAAACACCCTGATCTTTTTTATTAGATTTTGTTTCAGCCATACAACTTCTGATCCTGTTAAATATTTCTGATAAATGGCCGCCCGTCAATCATTAGAGAGATTAAATACAAAATGATTTTAATCATTATTAACTGGGGTATTTATATTTTTTTATGTATGAAAAGTCTTAAGTGTCCAAGCAAGAAAGAATTTCTATAGTGAGGAATATAGTTGTTGCCTGTATAAAGAGCAACCATTTAATTAGCTGTAGAGTGAAACTAGGCCATGTTGTAGTTATATTTATTTGGTAGCTTGGGGTGACTCGGTACATCTCATTATTAACTCAAGTAATGGTTTGTGTTCAGGCCAGCCGCAAAAAATCTCCTGTTTTCAATATTCAATCCATTGCGGTTTAACACGCTACAAATTAGCAAATTTCTTCCCAAGATTCCAAAATGTCAGATTACTAATTAGATAATGGTTACACATGGGAACATGTTGTATTAATTAAATGATGCAAACTAGCACTGGAAACTGAATTGCTGCCAAATCAAAAGCTCGACTGATTTAAACCAGCAAATATTCATTTGAAAGTCATAAAAATTTTAACGAATGCCTTCCTTTCTTAAAGTGTGAATTTCCCGATGTAATCACAAACATTAAGATCAAAGGAAGGACAAAAATCAAAGACTTCAGCGAAATAATTTGTTACACTACTCCCCTAAAAATTGGTTTGATAAAAAAATGTTGTCATAGATAATGACCTTATTAGATGGTAGAATATGTTTCTCTTCAATTCACGAAAATAGACATTAAAAAGATAAAAACACAAACATTCAGTGTTCATTAACATTGCTATTATGTGAACAATTGCTATGGTAAGGCATCCAATTGGAGCGAATGTTATAAATCGTTCCTTTATTAAAAACATTTCGACTGATAGAATTATTTATGACAACAGACAAGTATCTATCTGAAGTTTTATCATGCTTTGGTTTAATAGACCATGCAGGAAAACTGCATAACAATATACAAACATAAAAAACAACACTACTTACAAATGTAAAAAAAAAAACCCAACAGAATCCATATTATATCTAGTACCAATGACAAGTGTAAGCATACCTTGCCTCAGGACTCCTATCACAACATGTATCTATTGATAATTAAGATTTGTTATTTGAATCTTTTTGTGGGCGTTGTGATAAAGAAAAACATCTTTTTATACAACCACATTTTAATTTCTGAAGATTTACATTGTTCTACGCCCACATTGAAATGTGATTGTATGTTGTCGTCGCCTCTACGGGCTAAAGTTAATATCTGATAGACTTTCAAATTATACACAGTGTTTAAGATCATGAGACGAAGAAACCGATTGATTTTCAACGATTTCCGATAATTACTGCCAGAGTTATGGCCCCTGATCACTCTAAAAAATCTTGTGGATACTCGCTCTGGAGGCTAAAGTTAATATCTGATTGACTTTAAAATTATACACAATGTTTAAGGTCATGAAATGAAGAAGCCTATTGATTTTCAATGATTTTCGATAATTACTGCCAGAGTTATGACCCTTGATCACTTTGAAATATCTTGTGGACGCTCTAGTTAAATCAGATTTTTTTAAACAGAGTTCTTGAATAAAGGTGCAGTTTATTGAAAAGATTGATGGCATTGACTTTTAACACAAGCAATTTGTTTTAGTTTTAGCTTTATTTATAAAAAGAGACTGGCAAAAATTGAAATTAGTATGATTTATTGTTTAAAACAGTAGACAATATTTGATAGATGGAAGTCATATTGGCATTCCATATTAAAGGCTCAATACCACTTTTGTTGTAACTGAATAATATGTCCCAATCTTTATTCTGGTCAACAAATTGTACCATTTTAGAATATTTCAATTAATTGATGATAAAAATTTCATCTTAACACACCTTATTTAAAAATTTTGAAAAATTCAACATAATGGTTTGAAAAGTCTAACGTAAACCTTTTCAAATGAAACTTCGATTTAAAAATATTTTCGAACCCTCTGGACAAGTAAAATAGGATGTAATGGATAATTTACACAACAGGTAGGACACTTAAACATCTAGTACTTAGATAGAGATATTATTTATTTTCTGGAGCTTTCAAGCCAGCAAGAGTGTTATTGTCCCTTTAATAGGAGAATGACAGTAGACCACAAAGATGTCTATTGTTTCTCTGTTATTCTTAATGAAAAGTGTATTAATGTCAATCACATAAACATGACTCTAAATCAAATATACATATATATATATAAATATAATTCACATAACATGTAATACAAATTATATTAGACATGCAATACAATCATTTAAATTCTAAAAAAATGACAAAAAAACTTGTCCCTCTAGTCCTTTCTAGAAAACCATTATTACATTGTACATTCATACATGTACATCCAGTAATTTAAGGTATGGTTATTAATATATATGTTGGTACCAGTTTTCTAATTTACAACAAATTAAGACAAGTTCAATTGCTGAAAAAATGAAAAAGGTGAACCTGAATTTTAGTATTTCAGAAGCTAAAATCTTGTATTTAAATTTCTTAAGTGTTTCTTTCTTGTGTTTTTCAGCTTTGAGGACTCCAACAGTATGGAGTCGGTGTCCCACTCGTACCGACCGATGGACACCACCTCTCCAGACAACATCTCTAAAAGTCGGAAAAATAAAGAAGATAAGTACTGTGGTGTATGTGGAGATCGAGCTCTAGGATACAACTTTGATGCCATCTCTTGCGAGTCTTGCAAAGCTTTCTTCAGACGAAATGCTCCTAAAGGGCTGGTAAGTAAAACTATTAATTTTGTAGCTTTCATAAATTTTCTTGTTGATTAACAATTTTGGATACTAATCTACTTTGTGTATGTAAATGCACACACCTTGGGTAGGACCCGGATCCAAATTTTCAATTAAATCTTAGTCTGTCCACTGCATATCTTTAATCAATGTAGAGTCGAATGTCAGAACCTACTTGTGAAAACAGATAGTGTAACTGGTTATACTATAGGGACCAGCTGCAGCAGTGATTCAACAACCTGGAAATTTTGAAGGCAAATGAATATTTTACTTTGTGCGCATTATATTAATATGACTTAATGTTTAAGAATGACAAAACGTTAATAAATCATTTTTAGGAAAACAAATGATTTATCTGAAGTTTGTACCAACTTTTTTTCTTCATTAATGCACATTTTTTTTTTTTTACCAAGGTAATGATTCATCATTGTTCTAGTTTATTCTAGTTAATTAGCAAAAGAAAATTTATATCTTTTAAAAAATAAAGTAGCATATGGTTATTTGCGTAAAGGTTACTGTGGGCCTTCATTTGATTGCAGCAAGATTATTCTGCATCTCCTTAAGACAATTTATATAATAAAAAAAAAAAAATTATAAAAACAAATCAGACACTATGATTAATGGGTTGAATCTATTTTCCAGGATGAAATCTAAAATATCAGCAAATTTTAGGATATTGTGCGGTATCAATTTCAGATTTATTTTTAATGTCAAATTGATCTGGCAGAATTTATATCACTTCAAAAATTAAGAAAAGGTTTTTTGAAACTAGAAACTTTCACATCATTTAAAATTCCCTTTGTTGGCCTATTATCAATAGGCCTATGCAACTTTTATCATTGGTCTGAGTCACGCTCAGGAAAAGAAATGTTCTTTTATAAATTTCTGAATGATGCAGTTGCAACCTTAGTTGCAAACAGAATTTGCTGCTCGAATGGTTTTCAATAAATGTATGGAATGAAACTAGTTTAATACCCTTGTTCTTTCAGTCATCAATATGGGAATGACATTTTAATCAAATATTCATTGCAAAAAAAAGCTCAAAAATGTTCAACAAAAAAAAATAGAAAAGGTTATTCCGGTTATTGTGTGCTTAGCTGACATATGAAAACTTAACTTTGCAAAAAGGATGTTTCCTAGCGATATAAATTCTGGGGGTCAAAGCTCTGGTTGACATTTTTTTTTTTCTCCTCAATGTAGATTTTGTCACAATAGGGATTTAAAAAAACCAACACTGATTAGCCCTATAAAGCATTTTGAGACCCTAAAAAAAAAAGACCCCCCCCCCACTGGAGAATGGGATATAGTGAAGGAGCTTCTATTCTTCTCATTCTGCTTGGCTGGTTTAGTTTCATAAAGACAACTGATATTAACCAGGTGATGAAGATATATAGAATTGTACATAGAAGACGGGGGGGGGGGGGGGGTAAATAAACAAATACACCAACAAACATACAAATAACTACATGACTTATAATAACATACATCTTTTAGGTAATAAAACTGAGAAAAAAATACATCTCCACTGAAAAATATTGGGGTTCATCTGTATTGTGCATCTTCAGTAATAAAACAGGCATATAATTTGAACATAACTTTGATGGTAGGAATTGGATCAAAGACTGTCGGTAATTTAAAACAAAGTTCAAAAATTGGCTTGATCTATATTGTGCATTGCTAGTACTAAAACAAGCATATAACTTGAACAATAATTTTAAGGTGTTTTCAGAACATCAACTGTTCATATAGTTGAAGCAATGTTCAAAGAAAAAGAGAGAGAGATGGGATTTTGAGCTGTTGTCCAAAGATTTTAAGAATCTGGGATACATTATTAGAGAGTAAATAATGTCGCTTAAATTAATATAAAATATAATATGTGTGTGAAAACAAGTTTAGAAAGAAATCTGTTGATTTTCTAACACTGCACAATATGCATATATACATGTTAAACTCAAGAAAGGTGGTGCCTACAAAATAATAACCTGTAAAGAAAAGAAGACAAAAAAAAGTTGTAGAGATATTTACATGATGTAGTAAGATGGTTGTTCTATTTATCTAACATTATCATCTTTACTTTATCTATTAACCATTCACATGATGGATTACATATGACTCTATCCTCTTCTCTCTTGCTTGTTTGAAAGGGCTGCCAGCACGTTTAACGACCAGCATCCTTTGAGTTAAAACCTATCTGAAAATGTCATCAAGGGAAATATCTGTATTTTCATCTCTTGTAACCTTCTTCCAGTGAACTTTGAGCAACATTTGGTAATACTTGTCAAATAATATAACAGCTATCGGTCTCGCTATCATAGATTGAGATATAAACTTATGCAGGATATCTTAAGAATCATATTTGGTAATATCCTATACCTGCTGCTGCTAGTGCTCTATTTAGAAATGCCATCAAGATAACTTTTAGAATATTTAATATTTGGTGATACTTTACCTTGGACAAAGTGATTTGAATTGAAATTAAACAGAAATTCTAATATAACTGTGTTTTCAGATACAAAGATTTATGATAAAAATGTATCTCTGATAATTCTTTCACAAATATTAGAGTAATAATGCTAAGCAGAAGAAAATCCTCCAATGTTTTTTGTTGCAAGAATAATTTTGTCCTCAATATCTTTCGAGAAACGAAACTAGAATTTTACTTCTTAAATGTTTCCACAAATAAAGTCAAAATTTGGATAATGATTATCTGCTCGATAAAAAGTTTTGTCAGAAAATATGAAAAAATTTGACAACACCCATGTATATTTTGTCACATAATCAACATTTGGTCCACATCTCAGTATTTACAAAACATGGCCAGGGAGTTCACGGAGGACAAAGTGACAACTTGTTTGTTGTTAAGGATGTTTGAGTGTTTGTCTCCGAAATATCGGAATGTCATACCTTACACAGACTTGTCATGTGATTGGCATGGCGTTACTTCCAACAACTGACATTGCTGGCATTGTTTCAATGGGGTTTCTAAAATTAGACCATATAAAATCAATAAAAACTGTTCATAGACTTTAAAATGTAATTCTAAAATACTTTTCTTGTAAATGAACCTAAGAGAATTTAAATTTGAGATCATGTAAAATTGAAACACTTATAACATTGTGGTTTTAATTTAGGGCAAACATCATCCCCGAAACCACCAAAAACAGTTGCTCTAATTTGTTAAGACTGATTAAATTTCAATCTTTAAAGTACATGTACCTGCCAGGTTAATTATACAAGTATAATGGATTATGTGTCACAATATTACATATTAAATAAGACACGAGTCCAGAAGAACTAGTCCCACACCGATCAAAATTCCTCCAGCTATCTTGTTAATAGCCATGGGCAATTCTAGAAATACATAAGATATATATATCACAAGATGAAATAAATTTGTTAAGAATAAATTAAAAATATTAAAAAATATTTTTTAAAAGCAATATGGTTATATTTGGAAAATTGCCGTAAGAGTTATGTACTAAAGGTAGTATTGTTAGCAAATTATTCTTGGGTTTTTTTTTGGTTTGTTTGTTTTTTTTTTTCTTTAAACAAGATTATTTTGTTCATGAACTTTCTGTAAAAGATGCAGATATGATTGGAAATAGGTATTTGTGATCTGTGAGATAAAATTCTGATTCATAGGTCACTTTCAGTTCAAATATCATACCCGATAGTTATAAATCTGACTTATGGGATAATTGCAGATTGTTAAAGATAAATTAGTTAAAAGCTAAATATGCCTATTGCAAGTCTGTCTATAATATGCCTATTGCAAGTCTTTCTATGCCTATTGCAAGTCTTTCTATAATATGCCTATTGCAAGTCTTTCTATAATATGCCTATTGCAAGTCTTTCTATAGGCTTCAAATGTTATAGAAATTATTGATTAGACCTTACAATCAACTCTGTAGACCTTGGATGGCTTGGATTTAAACTATTAAATGGGCTGACCCAGTTAACATTTACCGTTAATCACTGACATCATTACTTGAGACTGCCAATGAAAGGACTGAAAAATTCTGTCGACTTCGAACAATTTCTGTAAATTACTTCCAGAGTTAAGGCCCTTGTTGAGCACTGAACAATTTACCTGCCGTGGGCATATGTTTTGTTTCCTGGCAACCTATCTTTCTATTTTTGATCTGTTATATCAAAAATCACCAACTCTTTATTAAAATCTTAACTAATGTATCTTTAAAATCTAGAAAGTGAAAATGAGACATACTGTTCATTATGCCGATAACAGCCCAATTTTTTATAAAACTGAGAAAAAAAATAAAAGCGTGATAAACATACTATATAAAATGTGATAAACTGGTTTTGTTACCTAATCTTGTTTGGCTAAAATTGTAATTTTGATTAGAAATGTTATTTCACGGTAAGGAAATAATTGGATTAAATGTGTAGAAAATGGCAGTAATACATGCGTATAGATTAACAGGTTTGGTATTTAGCTCGTTAGATTTTCCTACAGGTAAAACCTGTTAATTGATTGTGTCTGGTCCGTACGCAACGTTAATCAATTATCAAATGCTACATATTGTCTTTACTCCTGTCCCGCCAATGCAGCCATTATTATTTGTCAAATAGTTACTATAGCAACAACTGTTGTACTAATGTTGAATCATTTTTTCCACGACGAAATGGAACCTTTGCATCAATAATTTTGTAACGCCATAATCATCGCCTGCCAATCAAGCTATTGAAATAAGCAACAAATCCAATTTGTGAACCAATGTTCTAATGATTCGTGAGCGGTTCACTGCCCTAGCTTGTTCAGTATTTGGTCTTTAGGCTTTTCTATCAGAAAAACTCTCTGTTCCTAATTCACTGCTGAGATGGAGTGAGAATTTTTTTTGTAAAATTTTAATTGAAGTTCATTTTATTCTGCCAACCAACCAGTACACATATAATTTCATGGTAGGATGAAGATGAATGTTTAGTTATTCAAATTAATATTGCACATGTGCACATAAATAGATATTTATAATGTAAAAAAGTTAGAATTATTAATCATGGGAATTAAGAATTCATAAAGATGTTAAAAGAGTCATCGAGGAGTCATCGAGGCTCATAGGGCATGCGCAGCTTGCGCTGGCTCACTAACCAGGGGTTTCAGAGTTGTTCCAGGATTAGGTCTAAATATTAAGGCCACCTGCAGAATTTGTCCAGGTCATAAGATGTAAACAGTGATAACACTCGCCCTAACCCTTGACGAAATATTTAGACCTGACCAAAGTTCCAGCCCGGTTTCCCCATTGTCATTGTGAAGGACAAAGTGCCTGGCTAGGAAAAACGGCTAATTGTTTACATGGGAGGAAAAAAAAAGAGGTCGTGTGTATACCAGTGGTAGCACATTAAAGATTCCCTGACAGCTGGAAGTTAGGAGTAGACTATAGCATGTGTTAAGCCATAATTTCCCTCACACTGTTAGGTCTATTCCCGTCTTCATTATCCTGGTTGGTCTAGAAAATTAAGACTATAAATCCTATTTCATTTTAAGAAATGAAATGGGGTTTAATGTCTTTCTGTTCTGCTCCAATGGGGCTTATGGAGACGGCCATTTTGAGAAACATTAATGGTGGCCATGTTTATCCATTTAAAAAGTTATCACTAAAGAAAAGGATGAAGATACTCACCTTTATTTCTCTAGTATAAATATAGGTAAATTTCTTCAATCTGAATTAAATCTGAATGAGATATTTTACTCACTATACTGGGTGTGCAACATTTAGTTCATAGTTCATATGAAGTCTTGACAATGATATGCAGACTTCAAATATTGTTTATATCTATGTAGTTACATGGGGATGGGGGGGGGCCTTCTCAATGCGTTAAAATTGAACAGGGGGCCGTATTAATTCATCTACTTTGTATGCAGTTAGAGCTATATGGGGATATTTAAAATTATTAGATCATGGAAAACCACAAACAAAACCTCAATTTCTTATACCAAGACTTTTCAATATCAACTTGCCATGAGCATGTCGTTGAACAATGTAATTTACAGGTATATAATTCAAGGGTTTTCAAGTTTATACAAATTAGTTTGATTACAAATGTTTGTATTTGATGAGAGTAAACATTGTATTGTACTGTAGTCTTTAAGCTCACATACCTGATTTTACCCAGTTTAATAAAACACTGAGGAATTTATAACTCGTCTTCCAAATCATCATGTGTTTGGTTTACATCGAGCGAGGCTGTTGTTACCACGTCTTGTCTTTGTAAAAGGAAGATTTTATGTCATATGCATTGGTCAAAGATACAACGCTGATAGTTTCACAGAAGATATTTGAAAAGTTAAATATTCTATTTTTCAGGATTACTTTAAGTGTCCTTATGAAGAGAAATGCAAAATGGATGTGTCCAATCGCAGATTTTGTAAAAGATGTCGGCTACGAAAATGTTTTGAAATAGGAATGAGGAAGGAATACATCCTTACAGAAGAAGAAAAAACAAGAAAAAGGATGCGAATTGAAGAAAACAGGTATAAACCAATGATGATTTACATCTTCAGTGTTTGATATGATTTATAACATTGGGATGTCCCTGCTATTCATTTTATTGTTCATCCTCCCAATTATATGTTCTGGGAGCAGTACACTGGAATGTGGCTGTTCCTTCAATTGATTACCCTAATTTTGGCCTCGGTGTTACTTTGATTGAATAAAACCTTTGTTCCTGAACATTTATGTATAACTTTTTCACCTTGTGTCACCTTCCAATTTTAGGGTCATGGGTCAAGGGCCAAGGTCACAGCTTGGGGTCAAATGTGGCCAGTCATCACTTAAAAGGTTATCATTAGCTTTTTTTTTTTTCCTATTTGAAGTAGAGCCATATTTCAGTGTATTGCTATTTCCTAAATATTTGAATTACAATCTTGGTGAAAAGTGTTTGTTGGGGTTGTCTTGGGGTCTGCTGGTTATGGGAATTCTTTTCAGCTAAAGATATAGCTTTTAGCTTTTAGCTTATTTTTAAATTGCTAAATGTAAAGGATGATTTATAATTTTAATATTTAATTTTCTTCAAAAACTAAAATGTGTTAATTATTTAGCGAGCTGTATCATTGTATGCATAAATGGTGTATGGTCAAGATTGTTATGAATTAATGTTATTGCTGCATATACCATGAACCATTATGATACTTATGTCTCTCTATTTTTTCAGAAGGGAAAAAGAAGTTGAAAAATTTCGTCATCAGTCTGGTGATGTGACGTCCTCCAACAACCGTTTGCGCCCTTTGGATCCGGAAGAACAGTTGGCCATCAATGAATTACTCTCTGCCTACCAACAGTCTCTAGAAATCTCTGTTGATAACGACATCTCCAGGAACAACCCGTCCATGACAGACCTGGTCAACATTGCTGAAATCAGTGTCCGCAGAGTTATCGATATGTCCAAAAAGATAAAGTCATTCAAAGCTCTGTCCCAGACAGATCAGATCAGCTTATTGAAGGGTGGTAGTATAGAACTGCTTATCATTCGCTCTGTCATTACCTTTGATCGTGAGAAGCAACACTTCTTAGATCCATATGATAACGGTAAATATGCCATGACAGCAGAACAGTTGAAAATCGGTGAAGGTTCTGGCTTATTTGATGAACATATGAAATTTGTTAAATCTTTAGCCATGGATTTAAAAGCAGATGAAACAGTGCTCATACTCTTACTGGTCATTTCACTCTTCTCACCCGATCGTCCTTGTATCAGTGATAAAACTTATATAGCTAAAGAACAGGATAAATATGCCTTACTACTTCAACACTATCTTGAGTCCAAGTATCCTGTTAGCTATGTTAGAACCATCTACCCCAAACTGCTCATGAAACTTACAGATATACGAAACTTGAACGAGGAACATTCGCAAGTCTTACTGAAAGTCAATCCAGAAGGAATCCAGCCTCTGATGAAGGAAGTTTTGGACCTCAACGTCAACAAGCTGTAGAGAGGAGAAAACTATTCAAAATGGACTCCATTTATTTCACCAGGACAGCGTCCAGATTGGTGCATTGACCACCGAATGGGAAGACTTTTATTTCCAAAATATATTAAAGGAATTTTTCCTTCATGATTCATGAGGATGTTGATTATGGACTCATTGGCATTTGGTGCAAACAATATCTAATGAACTTTGAACTGAAGGTTTCCGTACCTCAAATTGTAGAATGGCTCATTCTCAACTTGTATAGGACAATGTTATAACATATATTATATTATAGATAAGACTTGTAAATAGTGCATTGTGCAAGCTACAAAAAGCACACTAATATAAATATATAAACTTGTTTGTTTGAAAAAAAAAATATATATACTTAACGTACGTAACATCTGGCTGATGTATTGGTTGGTTCGTGTGGTGAAAGTATTGCCAAACTGACTCTAGATGTCTTAATGCTAATGTTCTAGGACCTTTTGTGAATGATATTAAAAACACATTTAGAACTGAATGGTGATACAGTTGGGTGCTAAAAGAATGATTGACATTACTTCTGAGAACTGATTAGTTGGTCATCCTGAGCTCTTTTCATCCGATTAAAGAAGTCGTTCTCCTGCTTTTGATTGGATGATGTTGGAGCCATATATTATTTTTATTTTCGTGATTTTGTTATTACTCGCTGATATTGTGACGATATTGTGTTTGTGCAAAAGTCATTCTCAGGACATACAGTATAGATGTTAACATATCTACAACTATCACACATCACTTACCTACTCAAACTTAGACGAAGCAAAAATGGTCGCGAATTTGGAAGATGGTGGATGGTGGAGCGGAGAAGTAAGATATGGTGCATTGTTTAAATACAGATACCTTCTTGAAACCCTGTAAACATTTAAACATAATGATCTGCTGAAGTTGGCTCAGCTTTAAATCAATTATTAATCGTGGCTTGTCATCATTGCTTACACTTACAGTTGTTGCAGACATCACTCACCTCACAGCTTATGGCCAAACGTTCTTATGTACCGATTCCACTCAAAAATATTACTTAAAAATGTGTGAAATAGTATTTATTGACATTTTAAGTGTTAAGTCTATGTTACGCTTATCTTACTGATAGAACACCATGCACCAGTCCTGCAGCCGAAATTTACACTTAGAAACAATCTATTTCAACGTTTTACTTTCTATTGATTAGATCCGATCAGATCGTGGAACTGTTGTTAATATTTTAGGGTGTCTACGAACCGTAAACTCAATTATCCCTGTCTTAATTCTTAGACTGTCTGTTTTACAGCCAATAGATGGCGACAGTGCTTTAAGAACCTATGCGTCACTCATCTTGTATTTTATTCTAAGTAATTATTTAACATCATTCTTGTAATAAAATTTCAACTTGATATTCACCGGTGTAGGGCAAACTGAATCAAAAATAAAGCTCTTCAATTGAATTGTGAATTGATTTTTCCAGTGCTTACAATAATGAGTTCACTCAACCAAATCTTGGGTAATTCAAAGTGGTTTTTAACCAGCAATGTAACTTTTATGTTATTTTGAATGCCAAATGCAGTAATGGCATCGAAGGAAGGAGAAGCACTTTGGGCCATTACCGTCCAGATTAGCTGCATTGTCTACACCTGATGTTGTAAGCACGGCTTAAAATAGTCTTTTTTCATCTCCTTTTACGTAACATATAGGAGCTTTTCACAACCAGAAAAGGATGTTAATGACCTCTTCCATTGCCAAATCAATTCTATGGAAAATTTAATAAATATCCTTTCTTTCAAATCCTGGGTTGTTTTTTTCTGAATCAAAACAGATATGGAAAATTTAATAAATATCTTTTCTTTCAAATTCTGTGGGTTATTTTTCTGAATCAAAACAGATACTATGAAACTTTTGTCCACCAATGACATGATTCATGTTTTAGTCAAAAGCAATAAGTTTGTAAATGTACGCAATGTATTGTTTGACGATGCACAGATCCTATCGGCTTGATGCAAAACTGTTGCTTATTTGCTTGAATTCTGCAACTTATTTCTTAATCGTAAGATAAGAACATGGTACATCAAACAATGAAGACAGTATTAGTCAAAAAAAATAAAACTTGAAAATTAATCTTCCAATTTTAATTTGTACCTGCCTCATTTGATAATGTCTACTTCTTGCCGATGATTGTTTTAGACATTTTTAGATCCATTTTTGTGATTTTATTTTTAACAATTACACAATCATTAATTATTGATTTGTTAGAATTTCTTATTAAGCTTGATCCATTTTAATTTTGAACATGTTTTCATATGTGTTGACATTCAAAGCAATAGAATACTTTTAGAATTTTGAGTAAAAGTTTATGAGTCCTTGTTGAAAGGGTTATGACGTGTTATCTGCAGTAAAGTTTTATTAGAATGAAATTTTATTTTATTAATGTAAATAATTTGTATTAAAGATAGAATTTTTTGTCTAAGTCTGTTCATCATTTCATTCTTTATCATTTAATTAGTCAATCATAACCTTGGTTACAGTCTTTTTGAATGGAAAGTAAAATTGAACTTCTGCATGCAGCAGCCATTTTTAATTTTGAACTTAGAGGTCATGGTCATTTAATTATACAGATTGTAGAGTTACGGTTTGTGAAATTAATGATTTTTTAAGAATTATTTATATGATTTTTATCCAATGATAGGTAAAAGGTTTTATGTATTATTTATCCCATGTAAAAATTCAATTGTTTAGATTCTTATAGTAATTATTTAGCCATCATAGAAAGTGCTTATTTCGTATTATATTTTTATTTAATAATCTATAATAGATAACTGTTAACAAACAAGTTTTGTTTCAAGGGCAAAGATAGAGGCTTTAATATCTGCTGTGTGCTGTATGGGGTTGGTGATAATTAAAATTATGAATGGCTGGTTTCATTTGCTTTTAACTGTGAAATTCATTATGAAAGCATTAATTTTCTTTTCCTTTTTTTTTTGTTTTTTTTTGTTTTTTTTTTCAATCATTTTGATCATTGTGTACGATTCATTTATCACTTGTTATTCTTATGTATCACCATCACAGAGGCTTGAAACAAATAGCATGATATTAGACTAACATGGCTAGTAATTAAGAGATCAATGATCTATCATCACTTACCGTTTCAAGCCCCTGTGATCACCATCAGGAGTTATATACCGGTTTGTTCTTCTGTTGTCCAATATGGACGACACCAATGTATATTACATGTCATTGTTGAACATATATATAAATAAGTAAATATATATATAAAACATTTAGATGGGTAGGAATAACTCTTTAGGAAATCTTGAAGAAAATGCATGAATAGTAGACCTAGATTGTATTTAATCTGCGAAAGTCTACGCACACCTCTACATTGTACTATATATAGGATACAGCAAGCTTCTTTTTGTGCTAATTTTAGACCCTTTTTGTTAGCGTTTCTGTGATGTCATTTATGATATTGAGTTTTATGTGAAAGACTTGCATATAAGCGTAGATATCACAACAAGGATGATATCACCTAGCAAGGAGATCAAAAGAAAAACAGCTTGGAGCAATTTCTCAGGTATATTGATCCCATGCACTAGTAATCATTAAAACATTGGCATGGTTGCTACCCATAACAATTCTATTCAAGAAAGGATTTTTTTTAGACCTTCTTTTTATTTCTTGAATGTTCGAAAAAATATGTAACTAGACAAAACGTTGCAGAATCAATTTGATCAAACAATGGTTCAATGTTTCCTGTGTACTTTACCTTCTGGCTAATCTGACATTTTCTTTAAAGCAATTCATGATGATACTTTTGCTACTTTTTTGTGAAAAAAAAAAGGATCATTTTGTGGGGCTCGAAAAAAAAAAACATGTTTAGTTAAACCATGGGATATTTTGTTATTTGGGAAAATCTATTATTAAGCTGAGTTTTCAAGTATTTGATTTTTGGCAAGCATGTTTTATGATGTTCAATACAGACATTGAATGTGAAAATATTCATTTTCTGTGAATGTTCTCTTTTTAAGAAATGACATAATGTCATATTTGGAAATGTGCCATATAATATACAGATTATATTTGAAAATTTGTTGTTTTTTTTCTTTTCTTCTTTTTGTACATAGATGTAGAATATATTTGTTTGTTTATTCTGATAATGAATATGCAAGATTTTAATTAAAACATATTATTGATAAGAGATCTTGAAACATATTTTTTATTAAAACTACTTGGCTATAGAGAGAAAAGAATAGAATTACACTATTTGTAATGTTTCAGCGGAATTGCTTTGAAAATAGGCATGACAAAATTTCAGTGGTTGGACACAAACCTTGCTTGTACATTCAGTGATTCAGATAATGAAGCTTATTAGCAAGTTGATAATGTTGTATATTTGTTATTAAATAATGTTCTTCTTCAAACATTATTAGTGATTATTGTTAATTAAGACATAAATTCATCCTTAATCCTAACTATGCATTTACATAATTCCTTGACGTGTCTTTTTAATGGTTCTCATGTGAAGCAATAAGTGTACTATATAATGTACGACATCATTATTAAAGTAGAGTATATTATTATATCAAACCATAACTATAATGATGACCATCATATTGATATTAATAAACTTAGAAGATCCATATCCATACACTTTATATAAAGAAATTTTATGAATTTATTAGCCCTGAGGTAATTTCCATCGCTGTTAATTGATTGATTAATCCATAATTATAATTATATCTGGCAGCAATACATAATTATATCATATTTTTGTAGATTTTCTTGAATATGCAAATGAAAAAAAAAACATTACATCATTTATTAAATGAGTGCATTGGGAGGACTTGGTCTTACTGTTGCCAATGTACATGTACATTTATTTGTTGAATATTGTGGTTTTATGAGTCAGTGCTGTAAAAAAGGGGGAGTTGTTTTTTATGTATAAATTCTTATTAATTATCTAATCAATCAGTGGAGATATTGGCACATAATTTGATCTGCTTTGCATACATTCATTCATCTTTTCTTAATTGGATCTCTAATTGAAGAAATAATTGTTAATTGATATTCATGTAGTATGTATTTGATCTTCCTATATGTACAGTAGTTCAAGCACAAATCATGGTGAAGTAATCACAATTCATGGCTCTGTCATAACTAGCTTCAAATTACAGAAATAAATAGTTTATTCCTACCCTATTAACAGGTTTTTGTTTGTTTTTTTAAAATAAATTTGTTACCAAAAAGGGCTGTTCTGTCTACATCATAAATTATGAACAGACATTAGGCAGGTTAAGGCCCGGTCCCAGTGGCCGATGGACACAAAACGTATGCAAAAAGGAAACAGCGGACGAGCAAACTTTCGGGGGTGGCTCCATCCGTTTTCATCCGCTCCAGAAATTGACGAAAATTTGCGAAAACAGAACAGAAAAAAAACGAACGTGGGAAGTATGTAGCGGGGATGTTAAATGGATGTTCATCGGAAGCCTAGCGGATGAAAGCGGATGATCCTTCAATATACCAGATACATCCCAGATACAAACGCTTTGTCCGTTTTGAAAACTTTATATACGAGATGCATACGCTTACATCCTTTCTATTTCCGTGCTACTAACGATGTATAGACGTTCCATGTACCTTATCTTTCCTCCCTCTTTCCGTTTTCAGCTGGAGCGGATGTGAGTTGCGAGGATGCATAGAGGATACAGTGGACGTTTAACGGATGATAACGGACATGGAACGTTTGGAGCTCGTATGTGTCGCGCCTTTACATCGTACACGGCAGAAAGTTCATCCGTTATAAAAGTTTTGTGCAGCCCAAGACTTTTTGCGCGGATGAAATCAAAGTGAACGGATGCTCGATGGATAGAGCGTATGAAACACGTATGCAATGAGTACACAACGGATGCATGGCGTTTTCAAACGGAGGGTACGTTTCTTTCCCCCTTTTACATCCTCTTTGCATCCGTAAGTGCAGTGGGACCGGGCCTTTAGTTAGCTGTGCCATTACGACTTGATACAGCTTAAACATTCCCTGCAATGCGGAACTGGTTCTGAAGCATCAAGAATCTATCATCGTGGGGTGGTGCTCCTTTGCTGAATTATAATGATTTTTATGTGACCAGTCATCAACTTGGCTATTAAGTGTGGGGGTTGTGTAAACCACTGCTTCATCTTGATTCAAGGGAACATTCAACTTGACAACATCAGAGGTAACAAAGGCCCCACAAAAATACTTTGGATAAGAAGGAACAAGCAAAGGCGACACAAATTATGTTGTTCTTTGAACGTTAAGTATGTCTGTAACGCTTGATTTGCAATATATCGTTCATTTTAAACAAGCAAATCACGTTAGCAATTGTCAGGGAATCACACCATAGTAATCGTGTACCGGGAAGTCATATATCGGCATTTGTATATTGTAGAATCGCACTTTAGCAATTGTGTATCAGGGAATCGCACCGCATTAATTGTTTATTGGGGAATCACACCGGGCAGCGATCAGAGAATCGCATCTTAGGAATTGTGTATCGGGGAATCGCACCTTGGAAATTGTGTATCGGGGAATCACATCTTAGAAATTGTGTATCGAAGATTCATACGCTAGCAATTGTGTATCGTGCCTTAGCAATTGTGTATCGGGGGATCGCACCTCAACAATTATGTATAGGAGAATCACATTTTGGCAATTGTGTATCGGAGAATCACACTCCAACAATCGGGGAATCGCACCTTGGGACCTGTGTATCGGGGAATCGCACCTTAGGAATTGTGTATCGGGGAATCACATCTTAGGAATCGTGTATCGGAGAATCACACTCTATCAATTGTGTATTGGTGAATTACGCCTTAGCAATTGTGTATCAAGGGATCGCACCTCACCAATTATGTATAGGAGATCACACATCACCAATTGTGCATGGGAGAATCACACATCACCAATTGTGTATCGAGGAATCACACCTCGGCTATGGTATATCGGGGAATCACACCTCGGCAATTCTGTATCGGGGAATCAAACCTCATTGTTGAGGAATCGTATGGCACCTGAGCGGTTGGGTATCGGGAAAATCACATTTTGGAAAAACTGTTTCAATGACATTTATTAATTGAACTGGAATAAACAGGTCACAATTCTGTGGAATACAATTATTGCTTATTACTGAGCGCCGTTTCGACTAGGCTTCTCTAGTTGATAATGACTAGAGAAGCCTGGGGGGTTGGGTGGCCGAATGGTTAGCTCGTGCGTGCTGTATCATACAGCCTGTCATTGAGTCAACTGGCGTGGTTTCAAATCCCCGGTTGTACGTGACAAGGAGTAGGGTCGCCTGTCGAACCTCGTGGGTTTTCTTCGGGTCCTCCGGTTTCCTCCCACTGCTAAAGACCCCTACGCGCAAGCGAATTATTGAAATAAAATTAAACCATATGTTAGTCCCAAAATGACCCAGTTTGTGTCGAGTGGACGTTAAACCCCACTTCTCTCTCTCTCTCTCTCTCTCGAAGTCTAGTCGAAACGTCGCTCAGTAATTGTATTTCATAGAATTGTGACGTATTTACACATTTTGGAAGTTATGTAATTGGGAATCACACAGCGACACGTATCTATTGGGGAATTGTGCTTTCGCGTCTTGGGGTATTTCCGTGTGTCAGACCTGTGATTTTACAACAAATTATACAACTATAATTTTCAATCCCATGATCATTACGATTCAGTTTTGAAAAGGGTATTCCGACTACATGCGAAGCACACTTTTCTCCCCCGATGTTCTATTTCACCTTCTTGGGCCTGATAAAGTACAACAACGTTCTACCTGAAACAGAAGATTAAAATGAATATTCAGCCATGTGACCTACATCTATCGTTAAGTACACTCTAATTTTTCACCATCAGTCAAGTATGTTATAGATATTGCTTTGTGGTTTTATTTTTCTTTTGTTTGCCCACTTACATTACTGTCTAATAAAAGGAGGTTTTATTTAAGACGTAAGACTACTGTCTCCACCGCATGAATTCTAAATCATACCAATTTTATTTGTCAAAATTGTATGTATATTTATTTAATATACCCAGCATCATACAAGTTATTTTCAAATTGGATGCATTAATTTTTTTTAGATACAATGGTACCTCTTGATCATCAATTGAAATTTGAGATAATTTTTCTCATTTGCCCAAGAAGTCATGCTTTCTGTAGTACCATATTTCAGGAATTTTCAAGTTGGTGCAGAAAAGTGGGTGAGAGAGAGAGAGAGAGAGGGAGAGAGAGAGATGGGGTTTAACTTCCACTCGACACAAACTAGGTCATTTCGGGACTAACGCATGGTTCAATTTTATTTCAATAATTCGCTTGCGCGTAGGTCTTTAGCAGTGGGTGGAAACCGGAGGACCAGGAGAAAACCCACGAGATTGGACCGGCGACCCTACTCCTTGTCACGGGCAATCGAAACCACGCCAGTTGACTCAATGACTGATCTTATGATACAGCGCACACGTGCTAACCATTCGCCCCCCCCCCCCCAGAAATGTGGGACGTTAAACCCTATTTCATTCTAGGAATGCTGGAGTGAAATTAAATCTAATTAAATATTTTGATAAATGAAATACGTACAATACGTAATAAATACTAATGAATAAACAAACTCAAATGTTCACTAAGCGGAAAAGGGGCGTGGTGACCATTGATTTTGCATGTGGAACAAGATCTCATGGGAACACAAATATCCAATACCGTATTTATATCTTTTGGAGGGTCCTTGAGAGTATCTCCCCCGGTATCGAGAAATATGGGGCTGTGTAGAAAATGCTAGGCTATATGATTTTCACCGGTTGAGAAATATCAGTTGACAACGTGCTTTAACATCTGTAGTAATGTATAGCAATCGCATGTCAATAATGTTGAAAACCGCATTGAACCCATATGAATTTTCCATTTGAGAGGAGGTGTAAAAAATGAACCCTTGCACCCCCTCTATTTAGCCACTAAAGTGAATCAAAAATGAGAATAATGGTAAGTGGGGTTGGTAAATGGAAATATACCTCAATAAATAATACACCATTAGTGAAGTGGTGTCAAGCGTTCCGGAACGAGCACGGTTACACAACTCTTCGTGCAGCTATGTCAGGAATTGCCCAAAATAGATGTACCATGATGTTTGTGGTTTTAAATTCCGTCGAGTGGATACTGTGCTTTGCAAGCCACTGCCAGAATTTTCAGAAAACGAAATTTAGAAAGGTATGATGGTATGACGATACGAGCCACCATCTCTCAAAATACGCCAGTATCCCACTGTCGCGGATAGACCCTAATGCAGGTACCAACTAGAACCCCTGGTTAAAGTTTATGGCGATGACCAAAAAGTATTCGATGTTCATCAATCCTTAGTCCCAAGTTTTTTTCTGGCAACTACCTAATTTTAGCTTTTAAGAATTTGAACAGATATTGATTCGACTGACATGGGCTAATTAAAGATGTTCTACATCTCCATGAAAGTAATATTGCCCATTGATCATGTGCATTTATTTATGTTTCTGGACGCCATTGTATAAATGAGTAACTACTCATCTGGACGCAGCTCGGATAAGAAGCCCGGTGGCTAATATCTTTGGATTCACGAACACATTTAGATTTCATGTTAGCACTTCGTGTATTGTTGTCACAAAATAACAGGAAATGGTAGACTTTTTATTTAGCGTGTATCAAAAATGGTTAAATTTAAATATTTATAAGTAGGTGTCAAACCAGAAGGGATTATTGGAAGGATGTCGTTCTTCTTTCTGAAACTCGAACTGACAAATATTTTCCCAAAAATCGTGTTTGGTTGCCCTTTCCAGCTAACAACATATTCAGTACCACTCAACGACCAACAGAATATTACCGACTCCTCATGCATACGGTCATAATTTAAAAGAACCAAACGTCTTCTTCTATGTTCCTTATCAAGTATGTTCGGTAATACGGGCAACTCGCTATTATGGATAAAGACCGATGAAGGGGTGACAGTATTGTCACATACGGGAAAACAAAAAAGCTGAGCAATATGTCTTTTCATTAAGCTAGAGGAAGAATGGATGGGTTGGCCGACATGAATGTTCTCTGTACGTGATCTCATGTTCCACTCCCTGTAGAGAACCATTGTGAAGAATATTTAGTTATTCATCAGCAGTCACCACGGGACACTATAATTCTAGTTGATTACAT